CTCGTCCAGGAGCACACGAGATAGGACTGGAGGACTTGATGAGGAAGATGACGATGATGATGAAGAGCTGACAGAAGAGTCAAGCCTTCTCTTAGGGAGAGGAAGAGAGAGGGAACGCTCAATCATCCGGCCTCGTTCCTTCAGTCATGGCCGCTTGCCACCACCAGTACCTCCCAGGAAACCACGCACATCCTGGGGCGACAGAGAAAGAGAACGGGGAAGGGAAAGAGGCGGGAGCCAACTGTCTCAGCTCCAAGAGTGGTGGGCAAGCTGGAGTGAAAGGGAGAGGAGTGGAACAGGTGGTGATGCTGACAGGCAAAAGAGGGAAAAGAAGAGGAGAAAAGAAAAGGAGAAAGAGAAGAAGAAAAAGAAAAAGAACAAAAAGAGGAAAAAGAGGGAAGAAAGAGAAAGAGAGCGTGAGAGAGAAAGGAAGCGCAGAAAGGTGAAAAAGAAAAAGAAGAAGGCACTGAAAACAAAGAAGCATAAGAAATCAACTGGGGGGAAACGGTCTGAGCCAGAAGATGGGGATGTAGAACCTGAGAGGGAAGGTGAGACAGAGAGAGATAGAGATGGAGGAATGCAAGACTACTCTTCCTTTTCTGCCCAGTATGGCAGCACATTTGGTGAGAAGGGGCGGGATTCATGGGAGGGAGAAAGAGAACGAGGCAGAAGAGAAGGAGCAGAGGAGGACAATGACAGGGATGAGGAAGACAGTGGAAGAAGTAGGGAGAGGCGTCCAAAATCTTCACACTCTCATTCTAGATATCGCACCCTCAGTAAACGCTACCCCAACCCCAATAAGTTTCCTGCATCTGTCAAATTTTGGATGAATGGAAGAGGAGGTGACTCGAATGCTCCTCCATTGTCTCTCCACCCACTCCTTCCGTCCTCCAAGCGACAAAAAAGTGGAGGGTTGGATCGAGAAGACAGTGGCAAAGTAGGAGAGCGTCGTCCTCTGTTGATGCATTATGAAAAAGAGAAAGCACAGACAAGAGAAGGGCTGTCCTTCCATGAATGGGACTCAGATGAAGATGATGTTGATGACAATGATGATGATGATGATGAGGAGGAGGAGGAAGAAGAGAGGGATAGAGTGAGGGAGCGTTTGGAGAATAGGGGAAGGAGGTTGGGTAGGGGGGCTGTTTCTGAGTCAGAGAGGGACAGGGCCAGGGTGGATGACAGCTACTCAGATGAGGGCTCTTCAGGGGAGTTTGGTCGTTTTGAAAGATATTGGGAAGAAGGTGCAGGAGGGAGCGGCACTGGGATAGGGGGAATTGGAGGGGGAGGTTGGTTCTTTGGTACCTACCCATCAAGAGAGAAGGGAGGCAGCATCAATAGTCGAGATGATTCATTACTTGGAACTCGTGCAGAGGGATGGATTGGTACTGATTTCTGTGGATCTGGACACGGCGTTGGTTGGGCACCAGGAGGAGGGAGTGGAGGGCTGGACTCCCAGTGGCCCCTACCTCCAACAGCTTTCCCCCCACCTAGACGTTACTGGTCTATGGACAAAATTCCTGTGAAGGGAGAGAAAAAATGGAAGAGTGGTGGAGGTAAGAGGAAAGGACGAAGTAGGGAAAGAGCGGAGGAAGCAGGACGGGCAACTGTGTGCTCTTGTAGCCTTTACCCCCAACCACATCCTTATCCACACTCCCATAGTCGCTCACACACCTCCCACTCCAAGAGAGGAGCCTCAGCCCTTTCCCGTAGCCAAGAAGAGCTTCTCCCCCACTGTCAAAGCTTCAGCGGGGGTTCACGTCCAAAGCCTTTGCCTCCCAAACCAGATTCCAATCAAGCCAAATCAGGCAGCCAATCTAACCTCAGCCTCAACACACAGCCTACAGACCATCAACTACAACCTTCACCATCACCACCACAGCAGCCATCTATGTCTCCCACTTCCCTCCCGATGCCCATCCCACCTCCCCCATCTTCAGCCTCCATCTCACCACCAGCAGGGGTGGGGATGGCAGGCCAGGCTCAGGCTACAGCCAGTGCCAAACTTCAGTATCAGAGACTGCGCTCTGTGCCACAGCCACGGAGGTTCTATTCTCCCCACCTGCCACTCAAAGCCAAGAGCCTGTGCTCACGTCGAGGGTCAGCCCACTTCTCCAGCCTGGAGAGTGAGGTATGACAGGGGGAGAGGAGAGAGGGAGACGTGGGAGCAAGCACCAATGCTATTGAAAACCATGGTGCCATGGCAGCTGGAGCCAGGGACGACAACAATGATATGGCTGCCTTGGTGACCATAGGTAATCAGTTAGCATCCATCACTACAGGAACTAATATGGACAGTAGTTCTATTGCTAACACTACTCTCAGTGAGGGCAACACTACTGCCACCCGCTCTATTGTACGTGTACTTATGAGAGCGACGGTGAGATGCCACACAAGGGTTAGCTACATCCGTCTGGATGGTTCCCATGACGATGAGAGCGAAGGTGAGGCTGCATCACCGGGGACACCAGCCCCAGAACTTCTTCTATGCTCAGAAATGAGGTTTGTGATGTCATCTTCGATTCTCCTCCCCTCCCCAAGTCACAACTTTGGATAACAGTAGTCTCCAACCTGTGAGTAATGATGTCACGTATGCACACGCACATATCTGCACACACAAAACACACACACACACAGTATGCTCAAAACGTCTCCCTCCCTCTGGCTTTGAAAACACACATCTCTGGGATGAGGAGAGACCCACCTTTTCTCAAAACATGCCGATGTTTGGTCTGTAGAGTCTGGCTCATTGTCCTCATGGGCTGTTGGCTTTTGAACCGGAATGGAGGACTGCTTCTTGGTGTTTGAGAGACTACTCCCTCTTCTTCCCTTTTTTAAGAAAAAGCAATGCAGTCACCTCTCTCTCATGCACTGTCTGCCTGATCACCATTCTATGGACAGTGAGCACAGTGCTAATTATTTGCCCTTTGGCCTCTTGACACATCAGACCCATCTAGCTCTACCCCAGGACCATCTGATATGATGTCATGTTTTACAAAAAAAAAAAAAAAAAACTTTTAACCAGTCACATTGAACAGGAACCTTTTTTCCTCTACCCTGCTGGAGCTTGTCATGTCACCTCTGGTCCAACTGGGAAATTGTTCCAAGTTTCAAAGAATCTGAACAAAACAACTTAAAAGAAAAACAACAACAACAAAAAAAGACATGTAGCAAAATTTATTTCTATGTCTGTCTTTATTTTTATTTCTTATTCAGACATCTCTCCCCATCCCTCTTTTTATTCTGTCCAAATGTTTCTCTGACTGTGTTCATGTTTTAATAGGAGGCTGGATGTGGCTAGTGTTGGAAGTGGGATTGATTTAATAGCAATGCCAAATTTCCACTTTTGAGCTTTTACACAAAATTGGTTTTCAAGTAATTTTTGTGATAAAATCTTGTCTTTTGTCTGGATGTGTGAACAACACATAATTTCATCCTCATGTAAGCGGATCCAGGGGATGATTAGTGCAATATCTGTAATTGGCACTAGATGGCTGCATAATATTCAAATAAGCTTTTGAGACAGGTGCAGGAAGCTTGTGCTTGCTTTATTTGTAGAAACAGGACAGGTTTGAAGTAGTATGCAGCTATGAACTTAATTACTTCTATGAAATTGTTCAGTCAGGATTTATTCTGAGGAACTAGGGGGTTTCAAACCAGGAGCTGTGTATTTTAAAGCTCTCTTAGGATGCAATTCTGTGTTGACACTATTATGTGTCTTGGCTGAGTTTGTGGATGATGGATTATGTGAAGCACAATTCCTCGTTGTATTTTTCAGTCATGTGTGCCACAGTTGTAAATGCACAATTTCAAGGTAACATATTTTGCTGACACAGCTCTTCACGTGATAACTAATGTTGCTGTTGTAAATGATAAATTTCCCATTAACCAAGGTTCAAATTGTTTAAAAAAAAAAGAAAGAAAAAAAAAAACACTTGTACGGAAGTGATCATCCTGCTTTGTCTTGTTCCTTTTTTGGCAAATAAGACAGAATGACATACTGTGAATGTTTTGAGGTGCATATACAGTAGCTGAAATATCAGTGAATGCAGTCAGCGATAACTCCTATGATTGAGATTATCGAGTGATTGTTTGACTTTGAGCAATATTCCCACCTTCAATGTGACAGTGATGCAGTGGCACATCATTGTAGTTGCTTTTCTTTGGATTTAAAACTGGATATGTTGTTTGATTCAGGGTCAGATGTTTCACTTCAGTTTTTACTAGCAGAAGACTTTTAAACTAATTTGGTCAGATATGGATGTTCACAAATGGATTAAGTCTACAACTTTTGGCTACAGGTAATAAATTTTAAAAATGCTACATGTTCAAGACTTAGTAGTGATATGTAGCGTTGTACCTTCTGTGCCAAAAGCCATCCACTGTTTAGCTGTACAAACGTTGCAGTGCAAATACTATTTTCATGACCTCAACATATCCTCTTCATCTCTCACGCTAAGACCAGCCACAGCCCAGCCGTTTGTCTATCGTAGTTGAATGTAATGTTGAACCAATGTAGCAAAAGAACACCTTCTTACTTTGTAGTTTTAGTTTTTTTGAATGCTGTTTGTAAAGGCTAGAAGGAGGGGAGTTTGACCTGCTATGCGAGGGGCTGTGCATTGTGTTTGTGCATGTCGTCACAGATCGGAGGGTTAGTCGACCTTTTTCACGTCCCCTTTTTTCACTCTTTTGCCCTTCTTGAGGTCAGACTGTACCTTTTATCTGCACATGGATTGCTTTTTTTGTAAGTCTCTGTGGGGCTATTTTTAAAACGACATGTTTTTAGAGAAATGCTTTGGCTCTTTCCCATCCCCTTTGGAACGTCCAAGACTCATTGCATGTTTAGCGGAATGAAATTGCCAAGATTTGTGCGGCGGGAGGGCTGTGTAGGTCAGTTGTAGCATTTGGGAACCAGGACATCCACCTTTTTCTGTGAGATAGCAAGTGCACTCTACTCTGCACCCCAGCAGTGGAAACCACGGCAACAGTCCGACTGTTTCCTGTGTAACACAACACAGTTATTTTCAACCAACTAACAGGGCTTAAACCTGGTTTGTCATTGAGCATCATTGAGTTTTTCTGAGGCACTAATACTTAAGTCTGTGACTGCATGAACAGAACTGACTCTTTAAAAACCCTCTGGCTAATTATGTTTTATTTATTTTATTATATGCTGAGAAAAAAAAAAAGAATATATTGAAATATACTATGTTTTTGAGAATGAACCATGTTATACTGTGATTTAACTGAGATATTTTATTGTATTCAACCATCATTTGAATTCTATCATTTATCTATCAAGAAAAATATATGTACAAATAAATATATACATATATACATACAGGTATATATATATATTAGTTAAGTTTGGTATATTTGGAGGAAGTGTTAGATGAAATAGTTTTAAATGTTTTAGCTTTGTAGCAATTCTAGACTCGGAAATCATTTTTGAATTTTGATTCCTCCTATATGACTGTGAAGACATTAGTGCCTGTGCCAAAAAAGACAAGTAAAGGTCAAAACTCTTTATTCATCTGTATCTACTACGGCTTTCAGTCCATCACTTCTCTAGAACTACCTAGCATCGCATTTTCTCATATCACTTATCAATACGTTTTTTTTTTATTTTACACATCTGGTTGTTTTTCTTCTCTTTTCTCCTGGTTTTCATGACCAATCTTTGTATCATCTATAGCTCTCTTAGTTTAAACTTCTATCGCCAAGTGGTCACATCTTTTTGTTATTCAAGCCATTTGTTGACCTTATTTCCTTTTGATCACTTTTTTATATGTATACATCAGCCCATCTCTTTGTCTCTCACTTAGCAAAAAACAGAGACCAGTAGATACTGTGTTCTTGCTCCTTTTGACTGATTGTTGTTGATGATGATCAATTCACTGGTTGATAAAATAATTACTGAACAATGTTACTATTACTGATGTGACTGAAGTGTGCATCTGACGACCACACCACTGTAGCAAGTCTGGGCTGTACCACACCACCAGCGAGCAAGTGGGGCCACAGTTGCTATGGTGTTGCCATGGCATTTTGAATGGTGTTGCCATGGTGTCCTCTGCACCGCCATCACCTGGTCTCTGCTGGGTAATATAGCATAATGTCCTTCACTTTCTGTGAATCCCTGGTCAAATATTTGCCACCTGTGCCAAACTTAATGAATGAGAAATGGAAGATTTTAAATAATGAATTAAAAACAGCAACGTTTTGGTAAAATGTTGAGGAGCAGCATGGTGGCAACACGTCTGCTATCAGTGCAGATCTAGACTGGACTGGTTTAGCATTGAACGTCTTAAAGTCTTTGTGTTGATTAATCCTGAAGTCATCTGTATCAAGTTGCATCGCATGTTATTTCCAAAGCTTTTTATCAGTGATGGCCAGAACCAGGTTGAAACTTTGTCAGTGCTTGCCCATTTCTAATATTGAATTGAAATGTTTGATGCTAAGCAGAGAGATGATGCACTGCATGAATTTCAATCAACAGTACGCAGCAGCATGAGTTTGCAATGCTCTCTTTTGCTTGTTTTTCATCTGCAATTTCTGAAAAATGCATACACACACATTTGCTGTGCATGCATATTTAACACCCAATCACCCAGGCGATGATCCTCATCCTCCGTTAACACTCACTCAGCTGCAATTCAAATCAACGTCTCGAGAAGTCTTATTGTCCCACACAAGCTTTGCAAATGCACGCTCATTCGATTGCTGCTCTGTTATTAAAAGTGTCCTTGGTGTCGAATTTTGTCCACCTGAGGGAGCTGAAAGCATTCACTATGAATATTCTGCTTGTTTTGAGCTGTCCGTCGTCTTGTCTCTCCTGCCGCTTCTCATAAATCACTTTCTGTTTAGAGGAGTCACGTTCAATTTGTTTTATTTTGCTTGCTTGCTCCTTTAATTTACAGCTTTGTTGTGATCGGCTTTGATTTATTAGATTCGCTCTTTGGTCAAAAGGCATGCATGAAATCACCCAGTCCAGTCTAGAACAGTTTGTAAATGATCCTAATGCAGCCTCAAGATCATTCACCCACCCGCCCCTTATGGCCCGTGACCTGGTAACCAATACATGTGGCGCTCCAGAAATCAAACAGGGTCCTCATTGGCTGAAATTGGCCATGATTTATATCAAGGAAATACAGGAGTGTCACACGTAGCACTTGTCATGTCCAGGGTCTGCATGTTGCACCATAAAAAGCTTACTCTACTGCAGTGACAGGACACTTATACCCACAGAATCCAGAGTGTGTTCTCACCATTGTACAAGGCCCGGCTCTGCTCCAGTAACCTCGCCAACACTACAGGCCTACTTTCGGGTTGCTAAGGCGAGTTGCTAGTAGGGTGATGTTGCTCCTAGCCCAGACTGGTCTGGTCTATGCCCTAATTTAAATGTGTTAGTTTCTTTGACATTGTCTGTCTGGGGTGGGGCTGGAGGGTCAGTGCTGCACTTACTTCCTGAGAATTGCTTCATAAAATATGATTCTCTCTAATGAACGGCGGTGGTGCTGTGTCTCATTCCAATTTGTTTTGTCACATGCAGTTACGAATATGTCTTTGCGATTGCTGCACTGTGAGGTGTGTGTGTTCGAATGTGCATTTTGCCTTAGGAAGGCATTTTCTATGCAAGCTCAGTCAGAACTCTTTAAAAAATGATGGAGAGCTCAAAGAGTAGTTTCTTTGGTCTTCGAAAAGTGTGCGTGTGCATATGTGTGTGTGTGTGTGTGTTTCCACAAGCTTGCTAGCCCAAGTTTCTTGGAGGTCTCTCAGTTCTTGTCAGACTTGTACTTTGATCTTCCTGGGCCAAGCATAATTCACTTCTGGTACCGTTAGAGAGACCAACATGGCTAACACTCTGTCTCAACTCTCAGGTGAACAAGTCCGAGCCGCTTCATCAGCTTAAAGCAATAGTTCAGATCTTTTGAAGAGGGGTTCTGTGGAAAGGTTCAAACGTCAGGATGCTGAGTTTTTGTGATTTTATTTATTTGTGTTTTTGACACTTGTCATATTGGTCCATATGTTTTCATTTGATTCTTCATGTTCAGTTCATCTCCTTTATGCCATCAGCCCCTTGCCTGCAGTCGGTACTTGTCCACAGTCGGCCTCTGCTCCTTAGCCCTGCCCCTCCCACTCACACCTGTTCCCTGTTGTTATTTTGCCCAGATGCCTCCACCAACCTCAGTCCATTTATATTCTGCTTTTGCCTTCATCTAGCAGTCCATATTTATGTTTCATGTATGACCAGGGTTACATTTTATTTTTTCAAAGTTTTTGCTGCCACATCAACCTTTTTTCTTCTTTAATAAATCTTCTTTATTTTTTTATTTTTTTTACTGGAGCTCCTTATTTATGGCTGCTTTCCTGGGTCCAATCTTCACCAGAACCCACCATAAGAACACCTTACTTGTTACCGATTACTCTTTCCACCCTTCCAAACCGAGAAGAAAACACAAATATAATAAAACTAAATTGCAGTTCTCAGCTCATGCTTCTCATGATGGGTGCTGCTTTTGTTGATTAATCAAATTGGCCTAATTAATATTGCACAATACGTCTCAGCAAAAAGACAAGCTAAAAGCAGAGAAAGCAGTCCTTACTAGGGCTAATCTCAACTATCAGAACCTTTGCCTGTTTTATGTTTTTGCTTAAAAACTGACAGTATCTACATGGATGGGATGAAGACTTTTACCATAATTTCCAGACTATAAGCCACTACTTTTTTCACACGATTTGAACTCTGCAGCTTATACAATGCTGCAGCTAATTTATGGAATTTTTTTTGATGGGCTAACAAGCTTCATGCAGCCAAAACATTTAGCCTCGTCACACCCGGGCGCTCACATAGCTGCCCATTACACATCGCTCTTGGGGAGGGGGTCCTTGTAACTCAATGAGACTACCTGTATAAATAAAAACAAAACAA